GAACCTTTACCTAGTAAACAATTAAGAGCAGTTGCTTGTATTAAAGCTTTGCTTTCTCATGTTTTTTTTCCTGCTGATCATATCTTTTCTGTTATACAAACCAGGGGTACTTCCCTTCTTAGGTTTTGATCGTGCGATTCATCGGAATGTGGACAATAACATCGTTATCATTTGATATAAAATGTCTTCCTGTTCTATGTGAACAGATATTCATAAAGGAAATAGAAACATTTAAATGCTAATTTCTTACTTCAAAAGTGGAAAGCTCATTGAAATTCTAAACAGATTATAATAGCAATATTGAAAAACCTGAAATCAGAGGTGGTGTTTCTAAAATATTCTGGGAGAGATTGGATGAAAAGGGATTGATAGAGAGGAAAATATCACAAGTGTATTTTCTAAAAAAGAAGTAAATGGTGAAATAATGACAATGCACAATAGTTTCAAGGGTCAAAGTTTTCTTACTTAAAAACAGGAAATGGACTTCATTGTTTTCAGGAGAGACATGGAAGTCAATATTCATTATATAGACCTAGACCATGCAGTTTTCTACTATAGTTTTTTTTTTTTTAAGTTTATGTTGTGAATTAGGTGGAGGCGACTGTGATTTTTAAAAACATGGTGCTTGATTTGGATTAAAGGTGTCTACTGAGGGTAGCAGGGACTAAAAAAACCCCATAATTTCTATTTTTTTGGTTTGCTGAGTTAAAGAAAGGAGAGGTAGTAGAAAACTGAGTAATCAAGAAGGATATTAACCACTCGAGATATTAAGAGACAACAAAAAACAGCAACTCAATGGTTAAATGAAAGAAAGATTTGACAATAAGATAGGATAAAACCTTTTCTTAGAAATGTTTATAGGCCAATCACTAGGTGATAAAAAAATTAAACCCAGAAAAATATATAGTTTTCCTTAAAGAAAGAATCCAAAATTCAATAAAAGCCTGTATGAACAAGACCTAAAAAGAATACATGGATATAGAGGTATTTGCATTTTTAAAATCTGTAACATTATCTAAAATGGAAGCCAGGCCATGCTTTTTATTATCATCTCTATAATAGTGCTAATAGGCTATTTACAAGGATTTCAAATATCCTCTCAGAGAAAAATCTGAATTTGTTCATGTTTTGAAGTTTTAAAATTCTTAACTCTAGTTGCATATTTTAAAACTATCACCGTATTTATTCGAGTATAAGCCGACCCGAATATCAGCCGAGGCACCCAATTTTTACCACAAAAACTGCATTAAAAATGTGCTGAAAAACTCGGCTTATACTTGAGCACATACGGTACCTTCAAAATTTTTCCTGATCTATCCTGAAGATAAAAGGCCATTGACTACAGCTGCCAGCCATTCTTTAAACAAAGCCTGTATTAGATTGTTTTGAGATATACTTGGATGATACAGGTGCCAAAAATAATAGATTTCAAGACTTTTCAACAAAGGAAATTGCTAGTGTCCTGGGAGTAAGTAATTAGCACGCATTTAAAAACATAAAGGTAGTGTTGGATTCTCAAAAAAGACTCTCTTTAAAATGATGATAAAGTGTGATACTTAGATCCAATTTCACTGACTACTAGTGAAATTTTGTTTGTCATGGGAATTTTCCAGTTAAAAAGAATAGGAGAGTTGATAATGGGTACCAAAACAAGGAATAATAAGTCAGTTATCTGTCTACACCGCCTGGGTCATTCATGTCTGCATTATAATGTGGAGGGTCCTATGAAATTCAAGTACAAATGAGAAAACACTTATTATTTTCATTTTGTTCTTGCTTTCAGTGATCAAAAAAGACTAACATGTATTGCAATTAGAAGGCAATACAATAAGCTAGTGTTAACAAAGCATTTGCTATTGTCAATGATGTATGTTCACCGGTGGTTAAAAGTTAAAAGAATGGAGGCTAAGATGGTGGGAACAAGTAATTCTTTAAGTGGTTCATGGCTAATTTCATTTCCAAATTAAAATTAAAACATTATTTAAAGATCAAAATAAATGTAAAAGCAAATTAGTCCAGAGCAGTGTTTCCCCAGGGCGATACTGCCCATTAGAGGTTTTTGGACGGATTCAGAGGGGCTACTGTGCAAAGGTTTTTAATTGTCAGGAGGGTGCTGAGTAACTTTTTTTCTGAAAAGGTGGGCAGTAAACCAAATAAGTTTGGGAGTGTATGCTCTACAGTGTTCGCTTTCTAACAAAATATGTCATGCAAATTATAGTAATTACCATGGAAATGTTTTTCAATAGGAAATGGAATTTAGGATTTATAAAATCAAGACAATGTTACTTATGGATTAAAATTTTCTGTTTGAAATAACAAGAGTTATGAAAAGCCAAAGGCAAACAATAAGATCGGCAGTAGAATAAGTACTGATCTTTAAAGTTACCAAGTAAAGGACTTAAAAACATAAAAAAACTGGAAAAACTTAAACTGACCAAATATTCAGTGAATTTTGCAATGTTTACAGATAAAATAAAGGTTTTAAAACTGGGCAAAAGTATAGAACCTAATTTCTTAAATTTTATATGATATAAAAGATAATCCAAAAATATATAAATCATAGGTGAAATCAGTTTTAAAATCCTATTTAAGAAGCTTAATATTAGCTACAAAACAAAACAAAAAACTTCAGGGTGCACTTCACAGAAATTAATATAAGATTCAGATAGAGGATCTGGAAAAGGGATTCAAAATGCACATCATAACATGGATGGAAGGGAACTATAGCCTATTTACTCCTTGCCAAAGGTTCAAGGTCAATGGCCTATTTCTACCCATTCTTGAGTGAGTTCTCGATTTTTTTCTTTTTCAGAACTTCCCCGGGAAGCATGAAATCAACCTTAGTATCAGTGACTTTTATAAACAAGTCACTTTTAATACAAATTTTTAAAATATATGACTTGTATATAAGTCATACATTTCATGTATAATGCATTCAATACCCCTATATTTTCCCTTTCATACACCAATTTCAGAATTGTACACTTCAGTGAACAAATACACATTTGCAAGTACAACCTTCAAGGCCTGCCTTCCAAACACAGAAACACTGCCATTTTTGTTTCCCCTCAGGTTAGTCCTCAAATACTTTAATATTTTACTGTATCTTATTACACTTGCTATTTTGCAAAACAAATTTTTTTTGCAAAAATAAGTGGAAATAAAAAATTCCAAATGACATCGATTAAAAAATGTAGAGCCCATTTATCTAATATAGTTGAAATAAAAATTAAACCCATCAGCCATTCTGAAAGCTGAACTGCAAAAATGTAGCATTAAGTGGACAAGAAAATATTAAAGAGCATAATGAAACAAGAGACACCGTTAGGGATTTCACGTTGGCCAAATCACTGGTAAATTCCTATCACAACATGTAAATCTGCTGCTCAACTTGCATTCACTCAACTTCTTGAAGTTTTCAGGTTTATATATATATACTACACAAGTCGACTGCATTCTCCCGCTACTCTAGATGTCCTGAGTTCTCAAAAAGATTACTTATGCTAACGAGTCACCCCTCCAAGGAGGATGTGATTTACTGACTGACTCATTTTCTGCAAATCACCAAACATTTATTAGTCACGCCCTATGTGCTAGGCCTATGCTGTTGTGTGACACAAGGACAGATCAGACAGCGGCCTGACATACCAGAGACTCTGAACTTGTACCCGCACATCAGTGTCTGCAGTCAACCTTTACTAAAGTTACATAAAAGAGAGACACCACGGACTAGAAGTGGCTGAACCAAAGCAAGTCAGGACTCTACACTTGGGTCTCCTAGCACCTAGCCTAATTATTTCTCTTTTTTGGTCTTTCTTTCTTTTAGAATACGTAGCTACCCAAAAAAGATATCCCCAGATGGATGCATTATAGGCCCAAAGTTACCTGAATAGGAAAAGTAACTTTCAGGTGGACAGCCTTGGCTGCGATTGCTCAGATCATGGTTGCCACTCATTCATTCCACGTATGGACTGTACCATTGCTAAGGAGCTTTATGTAATCATTCAGGCAGAGGCATCAGTTTCCACTAACCCTTACCCCTACGCCATCAAAACCCTCTTTTGAAATCCTGCCTTTTGCATCCACTCCATGACTTCCCTTCTGAGTTTCTCCACTCTAAGCTTTGTAAAGCCACGCTTCCTTTTTGCTTCTTTCTGATGCACTTTCTTGCTCGGTTTTAAAATTAATCCTTTAGCTGTCTTTCTGACCCTGTGTAATATATTTTTTTTCTTTTTGGAGATTTCACCCTAAAAGGGAAGAACATGTTTGACTGAGTGCTTTATAAGACAGTAGTATTGAAGGTTCTGTTCTCCATACTTAACAGATTTACTTCATGCCTTACTCAGGTACAAAATAAAGAACTATCAGCAAATAGAATGTGAAATCTGTGTGGCCATCATAATTATGACTTTACAAATACTATTAAGTACATTTGTGATTTTCCAGTTAGGATTATTGCTGGATATTATGAGAACATTTGAGGAAGGCAGGTGTTTTGCAAGAAATGCAAATGTAATATCAGGAGCTAGTTAATTATGTTTTTTAAGTTTTATTCAGTTCATTTAAATAAGGATAAGGCAACTTGAAAGACGTTTTACATACAAAAATGTACACTACGAGGTTAAACTTTTCTGTACTGAAGTATAAAACCTGCACAAGAATTTAATAAAAGAGCACACTTTAAAAAGATGATCATTTTGAAGCTTCTACTAAGTTAAACAATAAAATCATAAACATATACTGGGTAATCTCTTAAAGAAACATAGGCAATCCACCAGAGTTACCTTATTTGGAAAAATATAGAAGAAGATTTTGGTTTATTTGGATTTTGTTTTTTATAAGGGTATTTAAGGATAAGTATAGTTACAAGCCTTCTATCACTATGCAATATTAACTTAAAAAGATAAACAAGAGGTACTCTGGAATCTCTCCGACCCAATTCAAGAAGAACTTTAGAATCTTACAGATATATACACACACGAGTATCATAGTTCTCTCACCTTTCCATCAAAGCGTTTTATTATATATTGATCCAGGCCCAAGTCTGAGAAAGAGAAGAAATAAATATTTAGTCCCTGAATATACTGCAAGTGAAACATAAAATGGCAGCTCTTTTATTTCAAATCTTTCAATTAAATGAACTAGATAATTTATTTACAATATTTATTCAACTGAGGCCACAGCAACAAAAACTTTGTCTTACTTTTCGGACTCAAAATGGTCAAACTAAAAAGATACCAACCGCGTCATTTAACATGTGAGAAAATTTAGGCTCTTCAAGGGCAAAGAGGATAAAAGTTTTATGTGCAAATCTATTCACCTGGTTAACAACAGACTCAAACTAGAACCCTGGACTAGGCACATGTCATTATGTCAGGGTGTCTTATTACCTCTAATTGAGTTGATGTATGTTAGTTTAATCTGAGTTCTTAAGAATTTTTTACATCCTGTAAAAGAGCAAAAAGTGCAAAACCAAAAAGAAATTACACAATACACATACACAGAAAAAAAACAGACTATTTTGACATTACCTTTTTCACTTGGGTTAAATAGTAAATATTAGCTGTGGTAGTTACATAATCTGGTGTCAATTTGAGGATTAAGAGTGTAGGGGTGGAATGGACATCCCCTTACAGGAGGATCGTGGGGAGGAGACGAGCCGGTCAGGGTGCAATATAGCAATGATGAAACATACAACTTTCCTCTAGTTCTTGAATGCTTGCTCCCCCCACTATCATGATCCCAATTCTACTTTACAAATCCAGCTGGACTGGAGGATGTATACTGGTACAGATAGGAACTGGAAACACAGGGAATATAGGACAGATGAACCCTTCAGGATCAGTGGTGAGAGTGGTGATACTGGGAGGGTGGAGGGAAGGTGGGGTAGAAAGGGGGAACCGATTACAAGGATCTACATATAACCTCCTCCCTGGAGGTCTGACAACAGAAAAGTGGGTGAAGGGAGATGTTGGACAGTGAAAGATATGACAAATAATGACTTGTAAATTATCAAGGGTTCATGAGGGAGGGGAAAAAATGAGAAGCCGATGCCGGGGGCTCAAGTGGAAAGCAGATGTTTTGAGAATGATGATGGCAACAAATGTGCAAATGTGCTTGAGTATGTATGGACTGTGGTAAGCGTTGTACAAGCCCCCAATAAAATGATTAAAGAAAAAAAAGAGTGTAGGGGTGGAGTCTAGCCTGTCAATCAGGATATAGCCAATGAGGCCTCTGTGTGGACACGTCCTTCCCCTGAAGTTTCTGGGAACTGCTGTATTTCCTCCTTGGAGGCAGGAGACGCGCTTTCTCTACTCACTCCCTGTGAGACATCCCTGTGGAGAAGACACATGGAGAAAGGCTGATGGAGCCAGACCTCTGGAGCCGGAGAAGGCACATGAAGACCCCTGCCAGCGCTGAGATGCTTACAACACCACTGGATCCACAAGACTCCCACTCAATGGCCTGTGATCTTTCTGCATTCAGCATCAATACGTGTGTTTCATGAGTCTGAAGAGGAATTTATAAATTTGTATCGGACATAGGGGCTAACATCAGACCGATGGACTTGATCTGGACTGGGCTGGGATGGTTTCTTAATGTATAAAGTACTCTTTCTCTTTCTTATACACATGAGTCTCCCTGGATTTCTTGTCTACCCAGACCTAACACACTAGCTACCTTGGAACTCCTGAATATTAAGTTCTAAACACGATGAAACCAAAACAAAAGCAAACCCACTGACATCAAGGGGATCAGAACTCATGGTGACTCTACATAGGGTTTCCGAGAATGTCAATCTCTTCAGAGGCAGACAGCTTCATCTTTTACCTGGAGCATGATGCACGACTGGGTGCCAGGGACTTGTCTCACTTTACTACTCACTGCTCTACATCCCTAGCACTTGGGAGAGTGGCTGATCCATATACATCTGTAAAGGAATGCGTAAGCAAAATACAGTTCCGGGCTTGTAGACACAATTAATTGATTTTTAAGGGAATTTACAATTCATTTAATAGGGTGCTGTAGGGTCTATATGTATCAGAATCAACACAATTAGACAGTGGATTTGTATTTTGTTTGATTGATGGTGGGAGACTTAAGAACAAAATTTTCTTACGTGATTGTTGGGTTTTTACTTTTGTTTTAAGTTTTCCCTGTATTCTTGCTATTCAAGCCCTTATCTTGTTATGCCCATAACATTACAATAATAAAATTATTGTTGCTCATAGAGAGCTTTTTGCAGTTCTGCTTCCACACACTTGGTTACACATGCTCCTTATGGGAAAAGCGCATTCCCGTCTCAAAGCCTGCCTGCACCAAGTGACCAGCGACTGCAAAAGAAAGATGTAATTCAGGACACGGGAGGAACCTGAAAACAGTTTTAATTTGTGGCCTCACCAATATTCAAGAAGATATCACAGTCACAAAGGCAGGACAGATTTCTATGAGAACTCAGGGGAAGAACAAAGAAGTCTAGACAATTAAAACTAAGATTGCCTATGTTAAAATATTTTAAATTAAAAGATTAGCATAAGAAAATTTCCCAGACTACTGCCAAAAAGAAAGTAACATGGAAAATAAAAACACAAGAGAGAGTTGTAGAAAACAGAGGCCAAATTGAAATGGTCCAATATCCTATAGGATTCTTTCCTACTCAGAAATAGGGAAGGGAAAAAAATGTTGAAAATATTTTAGAGCTGAAGACAAACACAAGGTCATTTTAAAACTGCTAAATATTAGGGCTGTCTGTTCGGTGTAATTATTTTTGAACTTTTCTAAAGCTAAAACTCACAATTTCTCATCTGTTAGGTATAAAAGATATGAGAAAACAAAGTTGAATTATGAGTTAATACTCAGAATCTCACCATTTGGTGACAAAAATCCAAATTATTAAAAAATCTATAGGCTCATGTCTTCCTTTCTTTCAAATCACACGAATATGAGGTTGTTTCAAAAAGTTTGTGGAAAAATGGAATAAAGAGATAACAAAATTTCCACAAACTTTTAAAAACCTCATATTTATTCTAGTTTTGCTCCATTGAGATTTGTAGAAATCCCTATTCAGGAGCAAGAAAAAGTAAAGTCAAATTCCCTAAGAAATTTCAATTTAATATACAAGAATTTTTGCTCATGACTAGTATCCTAGAAGAAAAGCAATTATTAATTATTCAGCCTTTTTATGAAAACCAGGAATGCATTTGGCATATTAAGTCATTTATTAGCCATCCTGGCCATGTAACAGGACGTAATAGCTTAAGAAACCAAAGAATACACAGTTAAATTCCAATCAGAATATAAAATAAAATACAAATATATAATGATTTTCAACTAGATTAAAATAATTTTCCTCAAATGACCAAATAATCTTTTGTGACCTTTCTAAAGTCTTGTTTCATTTTCTCTGTTATACTGGAAGCAAGGTGCATTCTTAAAGTTATTAATATAAATTAGAATTCATCTGAAAAGTAGAAATATTTTCAATAGGTATGGAAATATCGTACTATCATACTATAATTTTAAACCAAGATATATTCTTGGGTTTCTATAATAATCCTCTTTTCTCTTATTTTATGCACAGGCCTTTTTACTTCCTTCTATCCAAACTAAAGCTGATAAAAGAGTTCAATTAATGGAAAGTTTCATACACCTTTATCTTCTTTCCAGAGGGAAAATATTTTTACCTGTTCTGTTCATTTCTGCATCCTCATACCTAGAACAGTGTTTAACCCATAAAAGATAGGTGGTCCATCAATATTTGTTGAATAAATGTACATGAAGGCTATTAAAATATACATATATAAAATACAGTTCTTTATAACTTCAACATTCAGAGAGTTAACATTTTGTTATACTCCTTTTCAGTTTGTATAGATGCTATAGAAAGGACAGATGACCAAATTAAGTCATACTATAGGAATTTAATAAAAATCCAAATGACCTGTATTCTTCCACAAATAAATGGTGCCTAGTGTGGGTTTCTTAAGAAGCAGAGAACCAGTATGGGAGGAGTAGAGAAAATGAAACAGGGAAAGGGGCTGTGTTATCGATCTGGTTGTTACTCTAGACAGCCAGGGTTCAATTGCCTTTGATCCCCTCTGAGAAACCATGGAGATTGTGCCTCAGATGTCGACCCGGCACATTGGAAAAGGGAGTATTTACACTAATCCTCAACAAAGGAGCTCTGGTGACGTCACAGGTTACGAGATCGGCTGCTGACCACTCTGCAGGAATGAGGTGAGGCTTTCTACTCCCGTAAAGATTTACACTTTTGGAAACTCATGGGGCAGTTTCCTCTGTCCTATAGTTTAGAAACAACTCAATGGCAGTGAGTGTTTTGTTTGGGTTTAATCCCCAACAATGGATGTTAACTCCTTGTACGTTTGTGCCAACATAGTTGAGCGGCCTTTGGTTAGATGTCCATGTTGCAGCAGCAGAGATGTTTTGAGGCAGAAAGCAAGAAATACATAATGTAATGCAGTTAACTGTTGTAGGAGCAACTTGAGCAAAAAGATAAGCTAAGAGATGTGAAACAAAGCATAAAAAAATGTCTTACTGGGACACACCACACTGGGGTGAAACACCAAGGGTGTGCAACAGAGCAGCAAGGGAGCAAAGTGGAATACCAAAATTAGACTTTGGGGCCAGGGCGTGGCATCCCATTAGATTAAACTGAAAAACACTCCTAAAAGTCAACAAACAGACCTGGAACTATTTATAGGCTTTTCTTTTCTTGTCATTGGTTTCTGTTGTTTTGTTTTGCTGTCTTGTTTGTTGTGTTTATTATTGCCTCTGCATGTCTATCTACATAAGACAGGTGGGATAAACAATCCAGTGAAAACAAAAGGACTGACAGTTTGAGTGGGGGGGCGGGCATGGGAGAGCAGGAGGCGGGGGAAAGGAATTGGGGTGTCAAACAACTCAGAGACAAGGGAACAGTGACCTAAAACCGATGACAAGGAGGGCATAGGATGCCTGGTGGGGCTTGATCATGAGCAATGTAGCCGAGAAGAACTACTGAAACCCAAATGAAGGCCGAACATG